ATGTTATGACTGACATTTCCTTGGAAAGCGAAGGAATATTAATTACTGGTTACTTCCCAACGAGAACTACAATGAACGGCAAGAATTATGCTAATGGCAAGTTAGCGCACGGAGTGCACTCTCTTCAAGACAACGTACTCTTTCACACCGGGTTGCGAGGGATGCCTTAAAATCTACTAGATTTGCAGAAAGTGACTATCCTTACTTGACTTTTTGCTTTTTTTTTAATTTTAGAAAGCTAGTACGGGAACGAAGATTTTCAAGCGGAAGAGAGATGAAAGCAACTGTTGGTAACTTTTTTTTGAAGAAAATCTAAAAAACAAAACTTGCTATCTGGTCTGCATTTTGGTGCGGATGTTAGATTGGACCGACTTTTTTTTCGGCTTAGATGTCGACTTGGTTTCACCACCAATTGACACATCACACGAGTGAATATTGTGAGTGAAAGTTTCTTGATTCCTTCAGAACCAACGCTCGTCGAGTTATAGCCGAATGTACGTATATATACAATTATTTGCAAATACATATGAAAGCTATTCCTACTTTTGTGTTTGCAGCTTCTTGCTGTACATTAAAGACCGGAGGTTTCATGTAATTTTAGTAATATTATATGTATCCCTAAAAGATTACGCTGCAACTTGAACTTAATGGCACAGGATTGTTTTATTAAATATAAAAATGTTTGCTCTGTAATAGATATACATATTGTTTTCACCTTAAATGTTTAAGCATAATCTTTCTAATTGTGGTCGCCCCTCGTTTATTTCTTGCAAAGCATAAAAACTTTTCTTGAAAATTCACCGGCTGGAGCTGGTTTATTTCTTGAAATCATTAGTGGAATTTGAAGCAACTACAGTTGGCTATATAATTTATTGACGTCAATTAATATTTATTTCAGCAGATATTTTTATATTTGTTTACCCGTGCTCAAGCGCGGTCGATCCAAGCAACTTGCTATATGCATAAATGTGTAAAAAAATAAACGTACGCCCGCGACGTGGAATACAGTTCCAATAAAGAAGGTGAAACAACTTGGGATGAGAACTTCCAATTTTGATGACAGCCACTACGAGCGTACTCAAGCATGTACGGGGAATGTCCGGTAACAGAAGCTGTCCAGCTAGTCATTGCGATAATGCAAATTTGGTGTAAAATTTATGGCAATAGTAGAGTACTAGCGTCCACCCCCGTGATAAACGTCTTGGCTAATATGATAGAAGAGAAGGACTATGAGTTCAAAGTTATCTTTACTATGGCAAACTCGTTAGTCGTCGGGTTGAACAAAGCATTTATATTCGGTACAATGGTATCTTTCCGCAACTGGGATTGAGGAAGGTACCGGTTTTTCAAAAAAAATATAAACTTGACTGCCGCCAAGTGCTCAATAAAACATTTCGAAATTTACATAATAATTAATTCAAGAGGATTTATTTGCTTTATGTAAAAGCTAAATAAATCTAGGAAAACCACTGCAGTTACCTCAAAATCAACAAAATAAAGCATTGGTATTTGAAAAATTTCTAGGCGCATATTCTGGCTGCAGCTCAGGATTGCACGCACATTTTAAGCAGACACAGTCAAATTCATTTAAAAACAATAACTGCTGTAGTAGCGCCCAACTAAGCCCAGACGTAACGTCTAAAACCATTTTTAAGTAAATTTTAATGACGCTAAATGATTGCATTTGCATAATGACTAAAATTACTTAATATGTGCATACGAGCTTGGGGAAACATGTACTTGTGTATGTGCCAAAAGCATAGCTGTCACTGTTACAAGTGCTGTTGGAAATGTCATCATTTAGGGATATCATACACGCGTTCGAACACATACATATGAGTAAGTTCCGTTGGAAGTTATTAATTTTTGTTGCTTTTGTTCTTAGGTAGTACCAGCTGATTTATTGTTTTTAATGTTCGTGAAAAACTGAAAACTAGAAATTCACTCAGATTCTACTACAGAGAAAAGGAAAAAAAAAAGATGCAGTAAAAATTTTCAGAACACATAAATGTTTTTTTTTTTTTGTCAACAACAAGTTTCCCATATAGACATGTGTACGTATATGCAAATAATGATACCATTAGAATGCAGCTGCATTTAATTTGAGAATAATGTTTTAAACACAAATTTTTTGCAGGCGCTCTCGCTTGACTTGAATTATGCTTAGATTAATATTTTTCAGCTGGCTGTATGTATTTACTATCTGCTCGAATAAAGTTAGTTTGCATTATTGTCCCTCCGCTGGAATAGATCTGCCGTTAGATCATCAGCATTCGGCGTTATGTTATTGTTTATACCATTGTACCAACGTCATTGATTGGCATGTCAAGTTTGCTATTTTGGAGTGTTTCACATTCAGTGTAGCTAAGCAGGTAGAAGACTGTTTCCTACGTAATCTCAATATAATTTTACATTTCATTTAAATAGGTATTTTAAAATATTTCACATTATTAAAATTATATTATCTTATTTTGTATGGAAAAGTTAGCAATTGTAGCATGGTGACGACGAGCTAGAGGCATTGTGATTCCAAAACTTTTTGAATGACAAATAGTTTGTTGATATTATTATTATTTGCGAATCAATTATATAATATGTAGACATCCGTAGCCAGGATTTTTTAAGTGATATGCATATATTTCGAATGAACCTTATTTAAAGCAAAAAAGATAAGTAAAGCGTACAAAAAGAGAACCATAATACTTTGTCTCTCATCAAGAGTTTTGCTTGAAGTTAGATAAAGAAATTTTTCTCAATTTAATACGGACATCTTTTAGTCCAAGAAATGTTTACTTTGCAAATATTTTCTTTAAGCAATTTTTTTAGAAAAACATGTTTTTAGGTACATTTCAATAATAATACGCGTTTTTCATGTTGAGGTATGTAGTAAAATGACTTTGTACTTTTGTTTATTTATAAATACACTGCTTCTATTTCTATGCAATTAGTGTAATGCAGCCTTAAATATGAAAATACAACATATTTATAGGTGGGAATACGTCTAAATATAGCGCTGCTCATAGGTAAGAATTAGACTTCTTAAATCGCTACAACTGCAAGTTATTTAAAATAGCTTTTGATAGTAAAACATATAAAAAATAATTGAATTATAATTTAAGAGTTGTGCATTAATATTGAAAATAGAATGAAATATGTTAAGTCCTTTTACATGAAGTAAGTCATCTTTTATAAAATATTCAGGTAATTACATTCAGATTTTAGTAAAAGTGAAAATAACTCATCATTATGGCTAACAAGAATTGCTTCTATGCGCACACATTTGCGAAGGTGACCGGAGCTCAAAACTGATCAAACTTATAGGATTGAAAACTTAACACCGTAGGTCGTAGACGTACCTTGAGTGATCTGAGAAATTTAGATTTTTTTTTGCTGTTTGCCTTCACGAGCGTGCTTTCGTTAAGGGCTTTTGTTGATGCCCTTTTATAGTGAGCAACAAGAGTATGCTGCTGGCACTTCAGCTGCTGCGTTCTTGTTGTTGTCAACGCAGTACAGTTATTGTCTCAGTAACTGTGAATTCGTTGCTTTATTGCGCGTCGATACTTTGATTACTCTACAGCTACTGCCGTCATTACTCGACAAACAGTTATTGCAGCAGTTGCTGTTACGATTGTTTTCGCTACTACAGTTGCTTTTGTTGTCGTGAATACTACTTTTGAAGTTTCTTCATCAACACTTATACCACTTATTGTATATACAATAGTTGTGCTTTGGCTCACAGTATGGCCGTTTCTTATCCAATTGTTGTTATTATTGCTTCGGTTACTGGCAGTATTGCTGCCGCCGTTGCTTTTGACGCCATTCTTTCACTCCAAATAAACCATTGTTTGCATAATTGCTGAACAGTGATTTGCAGTGGCAATATTGATGTGTTGCAACATTGCTATTCAATCATGAGTCTGCTCCTGAGGAAGTTTCCAGTGAAGGATACACCAAACGAGATGTGATTGTTTGAACAAACTTGCAGAGGTGTGGGGTTTCAGAAAAAGCCAAGACATATCTTTAAAATGTTAGGTTTGCTTTCTTTTTGAGATAATTCGGCAGCGATGTCCCAGTGGTTAGCATACCGTAGATGTGACGTGACGTGTGTCGATCCTCTTTTAACGGGTCTTTTCCATTTTTTGCGGTATGGTGAATATCTAGTCAACGGCTGACTTACCAAGTTTAAGGCCACACTTGTAAGTTCCAAACAGTTTGTTGTTGTAGCTCGATGGTAATCCATCGATCTCTGCCGCTTTATTCTTTGTTAAAAGGGCGATTGCAATTCAGACTTCTCCGGATTCTCCATTTTCACTACTATTCAGCTGGCTGGAGCAGTGTTCATTCCATAAATTCAATTTACTCTGTGCATCGATGGCTAGATCAGCTCTTTGTGTCCTACAAGGGTCTGCTCCGGTCTTGAAACATTCTGTATGCCGTTGTCGGCCAGCTTCTCAAGCTGTTTGTACTTACGCATCTCGACCTCTTTCTTTTCTTCTTCTTGCCTGCATATGCATCTTGCTTCCCTCTTAAGTTTTTAAGTTCGCGGGATCTATCCCATCCCTCTATGTAAAATGGCTGCTTTGCTTATTATTCGAAGTTCAACAGCCCTGCAAACAACACGACTACTTCGTGCGAGTTACGTCAACCACCCATTCCAATAATTCATCACATTCACTTCCCATTAATTGGCAACAGTAGACAAGTCAATAAACTGCTTACGTTTAATTTAACAATATTTCGCAATAAATTCTCTTTAATCAAAAACAATATCAATTTACTAAAGTCAATAAACTGCATACCTTTCTGTATTTCACAATGGTGTAGAATAATTTCTATATTTCGCATAAGCATTAACTGTTTCATTTTTTTTATAAAAAACTGACGAATAAGCTTTTCAACAGACGTCAGCTGAAAACCTCTAAAATAATAAATATTATAAATAGTTAAAAATTAAGTAGTCTAAGATGAATAAAGCGAGAGTGAAGACGTAAAGAAAAAATAATAAGTTTGTTTTTTTTATAACGGAAAACCCTCGGACTCGTAAGTGGCGCAGTCGATTAAAGAACCTAATAACGTTTAGTGAACATCCCGAAGGACTTCATTAAACCGTTAAAATAAATATATATATATATCCTTATAAAAACCGAAGTGACAGTGAAAAGTCAAAAGACTTCATTGCAAATTTTAACTCAAACGTCTAAAAGACAATATAGCACAAAAGAGCTATAGTTATGAAAAATACAAAAAATAAAACAGTACATTGTATCTAAAGATAACAAACCACTGGAACATTATAGAAAACAAAAGTGCCTAAAGACAACAATAAACAAAAAAAAAAGTAGAAAAATATAAATATGTCCGTCGAAAACAACCACATCAATCAACCCGCTTTACTATCTGGATCCGACCTCTTGAAGGAAGCAGCTCGTATCAAGGAGTTCCACGGCACAAAAGACTACGATTTATCATCCTTCATCAGAGAAGTTGAATTAATATTGCCGCTGTTTCAAGAAAATGCCATACTACACCGGTTTGTCCTCGAAAGATACGTAAAAAACAAAATCCAAGGGCCAGCCTTACACGTTGTTAGAGCGTTAGGATCGGAAGCAACGTGGAATCAAATAAAAGAGGAACTTGTGAAGAATTTCGGCATCAGGGAGAGCTACCACTATCTATATCATCAGGCTATAAATATGAAGAACAACAATGTAAGCGAATATTTTAAGAATCTAAGATATTTATTAGATAAGCTTAATACTAAATACGAGTTTGATAAAAGTAAACCTCAGGAGTTTTCCCCTCCTACGAACGAATCTATTATTCTCAAAACTTTTCTAAACGGCATCCACCCAAATTTATCCAGCATAATTTACAGTAGGAATATATCCACACTTAGGGAAGCTTACTATGTTTTAGAAGAAACAGGAACACTAAGACTATATGACAAAAAATTTTCGAAATACGTACACCCTCGACAACAAAGGGACTACAACGGAAACGGACAGAACAGGACATGTCAACAGACATCTCAAGGACAGCCATTTAAAACCTCGTACGACAATAGTCCTTCTCCAGTTCGTTAAAACAGTAAATCCACTCAATCTCGACAACATTTTTTTAATACAGGCAATTCCCAACAATCTAGATATAGTCAACACCTAAACAGAACTTTTGGTAATAATAATGGTCACACTCCAATGGAAGTAGACCATGTTGGAAATAATGTCACGGATAAAGTAAATTTCCAATGTCCAGCCGAAACATTCGTCTACCGATAATTGAAATAAATATAGGAAATACAAAAATCAAGTGTTTAGTCGATACAGGGTCAACAACGTCTTTACTTAATAAAAATTTATTACCTCAATTTCAAAGAACAAAATTAGAAAAACCAATATATTTTAATACAATAAATGGAAACTTCTGCATTGATGAAGAAGTCATCACACCCCTTCCATTCGAATTTAATGAAAACAATCGTATGTGTTGGAAAATAACCAATTTTAACGGAAAAAATTTCAATGGCTTAATAGGGCAAAATATATTAAAAGCATTTTCAGCAATTATAAACCTTGAGGAAGATTTTGTAGAAATAAATGGGAACAAAATTAAATTCATAGATTCCTATCCATACAACTCAGAAGAAATACAAACCTTAGAAGTACAATCAGATAATATCTTAAAAAAATTAATATGCGAGGACATGAATAAAGAAGAAGAATCATTTTTAACAGATCTTATCCCGAAGAATTCTGATCTATTTTTCCAAGAGGGCAACTTACTGACTCATACTCATGAAGTACAACATGAGATCACAACAACGACCAACAAACCTGTATATTCAAAAATATATAGATATCCTCAAATTCATGAAGAGGAAATCAATAGGCAGATGCGAGAAATGCTAGAACAGGGAATAATAAAAGAAAGTGTATCACCATATAACTCTCCTTTATGGATTGTACCCAAGAAGTCGGACAATTCAAAGAAAAAAAAATGGAGAATAGTGATCGACTACAGAGCCTTAAACGAAATAATGAAAGCGATAAATTTCCTATTCCAAACATCGACACTATCCTAGAAAAATTAGGTCGAGCACAGTATTTCACTACGCTCGATCTAGCCAAAGGCTTTCATCAGATCCTCATTAAAGAAGAGGACAGAAAAAAAACAGCGTTTTCTACCCCACTTGGATATTACGAATTTGTTCGCATGCCTTTTGGGCTAAAAAATGCCCCTGCCACATTTCAGAGGCTCATAAATGCAGTTCTAAGAGAATACATCAACAAAATATGTGTTGTATATCTCGATGATATTTTAATTTTTAGCACTACAGTGCAAGAACACAATGATAACATACAACGAATTTTCAATGCTCTTAGAAAACATAATCTTAAGATTCAGGTTGACAAGTGCAAATTTTTCGCAAAATCTACCGAATATTTAGGACATATTCTTACAACTGACGGCATTAAGCCTAACCCAAACAAAGTCGAAACCATTCAGAAACTCAAACTTCCCGAAACACAAAAGCAAATAAAATCATTCCTGGGTGCAACTGGCTATTATAGAAAATTCATAAAAGATTATGCTAAAATTGCCCACGGTTTAACAAAATATTTAAAAAAGGATACAAAAATAAAAAAAATGACCCCCAGTATACGGATGCATTTTACAAGCTTTAAAGACTACTGATCGACACACCAATACTAAAATACCCCGATTTTAAGAAAAAATTTAAACTAGCAACCGATGCCAGCGAATTCGCAATTGGAGCGATACTTATGCAGGACAACCATCCCATCAGCTACGCAAGTAGAACTTTAAATAAACATGAAAGAAAATATTCCACTACAGAGAAGGAGCTGTTGGCCATCGTTTGGAGCGTGAACTATTTTAGACCTTATATATATGGAAGGAACTTCGACCTCATGACAGATCACTTACCACTGAAATGGTTACAAACCAAACACAAAGGAAAAGACATAAACCCAAGACTTCAGCGTTGGTTACTAAAACTTGGCGAATACGATATCAACATCGGGTATATCAAAGGTAAAGAAAACACTTTGGCTGATTTTCTTAGCAGAATCAATGCAGACACTGAAGAAATTTGTGCAATAGACAATAATTCAGGGGACATCGATCTAGACAACATAAACACAACTGCTACTATCCATTCCCAAATAGAAGAATTGAACGATCATATTCCTATACTAGATTCCGTCGTAAATCGTTTCCATACTCAAATCATTTTAACAGAAAGAAAGACAGAGGAAATTAAAATAGTTGAAAACAAAAAAAAAAATTTTATAAGCCTAGACGACATTAGAAGTGGATTCATGTCAGACATCTTTAGGAGATTTATAAAAACAGGAAAAGTAGGAATATATTCAGGTATCTCAGATTCCGACTACAATATAGTGCAACAAAAGCTAATAGAGTTATTCAATACTAGTGTAAAATTTTATAGATGTTCATATCATGCTAAAGACATGAGAAATGAAAAGGAAGCATTCAGATATATTCAAAAATACCACAAAGAAGAAACGGGCCATGCTGGAATAAATGAAAATTATCAAGGTTTAAAAAACACAATATATTTCAAAAATCTTAAAACTCTTATCCAAAAATTTATAAACAACTGCGACATCTGCTGTAGAGGCAAATATGACAGAAAACCATATAAACCAAAATACTCTATAACAGAAACACCCACAGACATAAATGAAATAATACATATAGACACCTATGTTATTAAAAAACATAGTTTTCTCACTATAATAGACAAATTCTCGAAACAAGCTGCAGCTATTTACCTAGAAGATAGAAACAGCATAACACTTATAGAGAAACTTCGTATGTATCTCTCTGTCAACCCAATACCAAAAAGAATTGTCGCCGATAACGAATTTAATTCAACAAATGTGAAAGATTTTTTTAGACAAGAAGAAGTTGAACTCCATTTCACAAAATCGAATTCCCACTCGGGAAATGCAGATATCGAAAGATTTCACAACACCTTAGGAGAAAGATTTAGAATGTTAGAAATTGAAAGGTCAGATTTAACAGTCCAAGGAAAAGTATATAAATGTACTGAATGGTACAACAAATCTATACATTCTGCAATTAAAACAAGACCTATAGATATAACAAATGGAAAAGTTGACAAAATCAAGATTTATAATTTGCTAAAAGCTACAAAAGAAAAGCAAATTACAAAGTTAAACCTAACCAGAGAAGAATACCAGAACACAAATCAGAAAGGGTACGTAAAAAATTATAAAGCTGTTAGACATAAGCAAGAACCTAGATACAGAAAATGAAACTAGATAATATTCATCCAACAAACATAAAAAGAACTCCAAAATATTCAGGTACATCTAACACTGCAAATGACAATAATTTTAATGCTTTTTGCTATGAGCGGTACCAACTTAATAATCGAAGACATTAATAGCCCCAATGGTTTCGCTGAAATTGCATTAGAAGACGTTGACATAACATACAGCTACAATACTATTATACACATCATCGACCCTAAAGAAATTCAACATGTCATAGAAGGACTAGAGGAAAACACAAGAATTATATCCAATACCAATGAGAAACACTTTCTAAATTTAGAACTAGAAAAAACAAAAGCAAAACTTCAAACTATCATCCCGACCAGATACCCGAGAGGACTAATAAACTTTATAGGAACAGGAATGAAATGGTTATACGGTACAATGGACGTCTTTGACAGAACAGAAAAGAACGACATTTACAAACAATCGATGACAACAATCATGCAATAATAGAAGGCCTAAACAAAAATTTTGAAATAAATAACGCATTTTATAATACAATTTCGAAGCTAAAAAACGCAATAGAAAGCGATAGAACACAGATTTACTCAACATTAAATCAAATATCAAAAAATAACGAAGAAATAGAAAATAAGCTCCTATATTTGGATATATTGCTAAAAATTAAAATCTTGTTGGATAATGTCGAGCACATACAGAATAATTTTGTTGCCGCAAAAACAAACACTATGAATAATAATGTATTAACAAGTGAAGAAATCGTTCGTTACAATATTGATCTTTATAAAATGAAGAATATTAAACTAAGCACAGCTCAATACAAAGAAGATAAAATAATTTTTGTAATTCAAATACCTAAAGATATACGAAAAGTAAAAAGATCACTTTTTGTAGCTATGCCTAATGAAAATCAAGAAGAACTTATTTTTGAAAACAGAGAAATTTTGAACATAAACAATACAAAGTATGATTTTAAAAACCAAGTAAGAAGAAGCTATTTAAAAAAATCTAACCTCTGTATCTTTGTAAATAATTGCTTAAAGAGAAATAATAAACAAATGGAAACCATAGAAATAGAACCAGGCTTAATAGTTATAAAAAACCATGTAAATTCCATAGTTAATAGTAGTTGTAATAACAACCAGTTCAATCCAAGAGGGAATAAACTTATAACATTTAACGATTGTAAGCTAGAAATAAACGGAGACACTTATCATAACTCTGACGATAAGTTTGAACAACATTTTTTAACAAAAAATAATTTTAATCTAAATAATATTACATCTCAGCTAACGTTTGATGAAATAGTGTCCAACCAGATCGAAAATATTAAAAAAATTGAAGAAATAAGATTTCACAAAAAACTCAACTACACTTTTAATAGCATAACTTTGGCA